CGGGGATCCTGTTCGAGGTGAGGTGTCCTTATCGGAGCAAGAGGAACGCGCTGCATCGTTGCACCGGCTGCGTCTCTTATCGGTGGAGAAGCTGGTAGGATCATTGTTTGGCTTCGATACGCTTCACAGTGATCCGGAATTAAAACTTTACACGTCAATGGTCAAAAAGAAGTTTCTTTTATCTTCCAAAAAAGTAAAATCGATTTATTACTAACCATCGAAGATTCGTTTCATACATTATTGTTCTCCTTAGACCATTTCGTATGACAAATCTCAATCCAAACTAGAAGGAAAAAATGTCCGAAAAATTCAATCCCTGAAATACAGAATTAAAATTGATAAAAATGTGTTCATTCACCTCCTTCTATTTGAACAAAATTCTAATTCTGGACCACTGTGCGCTTGGAAGATACTTGGGTTACGCGTGAAAGAATACTCGCATTCGATTGACAGCAATGTTCTATTGATAGATAGTGACGTGGAATAGGATCAAAAAGGCCCTCTAGAATCCGCTGGATAGAAAAGCCTTTCAGGGTCATTTCATTCACATCAATCCTACTTGATGAAATATACAAAGGGGGTGACAGGTGATCTCTCCTTCAGTACACTTTTGGGTATACACCGCTGTTGAACCCGGGTTCGTTATGTTTCAATCCTTAAGCACCGAATTTACGGTACGTTTAAATGTTGCCACGAGGAAAGATACAAAAAGGTACGGAAATAAATTTCGAAGACCTTCCCCCCTTACCGCCAATTAAACCGAGTTGCTTAATACCCGTGTTCGAGAGCGTGTTATCGCCGCTTTCAACGTTCCTCCGCGGGGCCCAGTTACTTTTTCGACGCCCGAAAAACACCGTTGATTTCACACAGAGGAACAGAAAGAGTCCCAGCCGAAAAGGAGGATCGATACTAATTGTCAGATCGCCGGGTAATAATCGATTAAAGACACACCACGCCCACAAATATTAATGAGCTGGTTAAGAGGGAGGTTGTATGAGGTTCCCTGATTGGGAAAACGTACTTACGAGCTGTCGACAAGAGAATCGTTGAACAATTCGGATCTATTAATTGGCAATCGTGAGCAGTGTCAATTCGACACGCTCACACCACCGAGCTTAATTATATCAGACGTTCGGTCAACGGGTCCAATTAACGCGCTCAATTATCGCCCCTGTGGACGATTCCAGCGATGAGCCTCGTCGTAATTCCGATCGCGACGATTAATCGAACGGCTTAATTTATCGATGATCGTCGCGCAATCTCGATCTTCGACGGCCGTGACGTTTAATTATTTTCCTGCGGAGGGACGTTTAATGGAACGCTTAATTGCGTCATAAGCGCAGCAGAACCGTTCCCGGGAACAAATTTCACGTCAAAAATTGCGAATTATACGAAGAACATAGGGTATTACAGATAATACTTTATCCCTAATTTGGTAATCTTGAAAAAAGATATGTATGGAGAATTCGTTGGGTGTTTTTCTACAAATCTTCATCACCATGTTTCCGTCAGTTTAAATTATTTTCGTTTTATCGATGCTGCAGCATTCGATGATGCTATTTCAGTGAAGCTCCTCACGATATACGAACAGGTTAATTTAAATAATGTGCAAAATATCGATCGTTAAACTTTTCAAGTGTGGCGTTCGGCGAACAAAATGGTGGAATTTCTTGTCTTGCTTCCATATATGTATCTTCTGATATAATGTTCCTTCCAGCGAGTGTTTCGTATGTTAAATCGGTAGAAAGAGAGTTTAATAATAGGCGTTCGCAAAAATTCGTCGATGGAACCAGCCGATTCCAGTGCAAAAATAACGACTCTTTGTAGTCTCGACGCGACGCGTCTGCGTATCCATTTGTTTCGGGCAGAAAACCAGACGCGCGGCGCGTTCGCTTAATTACGGGGGAGGTCGGGCCAGATTGCCGCTGGCGTAATTATTCGTCTTGAGAGCGGCGATTATAAAGCGATTATCGACAAGAATCGGCCGGTAGCTTTACGAAAGAGAACAGACAGGCGCCCTGAGAAAGGACACTTCCGTGGAAACAATTTGTCGGGGGAAACGACCACGTCAAAAATATGTATTTTTGTACGAGGAATCCGACCTGATGGTCATTTACATAACCACCATCGGTCATCCGACATCGGAGATACTGTCTTCGAAGTCTGGTAGACTGTAATCTCACGTGAATACAGAACGAAAGATTTAATTAACATCCGGACCAATACGTCCTGACAGTTTTACTCATTCTCAGTTTCACTCTGTAATTGTCACGGTAATTTTATCGTCGGTTCACATGCATGTGTTCCTCTTGATAGTACTGATCAAATGGAGGTATCGTTATTAACTATTTACTCTGAGACTTAATATGTATGTTTTTCCTGTCTTCTATTCTTCCAAGTTTCGAATTATTCTTCTTCGATGGAATCTGTAGATATTTTCGAATTTAGTGCATCACACTCGATAACCAATCTCTCAGCACCACAATCATGCGTTGCTTCAGAAGACTGTTCGATGCAGAGTATTGCAGAAATAGGCAAATTCATTATCTAGATAAACAGTTTCGAATAACGAATACAAGATAAAAAGGTATTTCGTCATTTTGAATCGTTTAAACGTGGAAATTCCAATTTTTGTAATAAAATAATACTTCTTCTTGAGTGACTGAGCAAATAATTATTTAATCTCGTTAACTAGCTCAGAATGATACCCATAGATACTGCAGCTTTTCGTCGTGTATTATTCGAATAAAATTGTGCCAAATGGCACATTCGTCTGATCCGACGAATGGAAAAACAAAAAAAACAAACATCACAGATGTGTATCGTGAAGAGATGATATAATTTATTTTCGCTATATCGTTAGAACACGAACTGAATCATCCGATGATCGTACAATCCTACGCCTTTGCACGTCGAGTAAAATCACAATTCTTTTATGTACAATGTATTATATTTACAAAACGGACCGTCCCTCCTGCGGTAGTCAATCGTTTGCCAAGCACCGATCGGTCCAAACGAGTTTCGTGGCCACATCGCTTGGATCTCGTACGGATCAATATTCTCTAGACTCTAGACCATGCCACGCTTCGCAGACTTTCCGAGCTTCCTCGAGACTCGAGGGATAATAAATCCGTCGGGGAGACTCGGAAACGATACGAAATATTCTCTCGGTAAACGATCGCCTCGATCGAAGGAGGACGTCCCTCTAACGGTCTATCGATATACAATAATTTAAATCGTCAGTACATTTTCGGGAGACATCGATCGACAAAAGGAATACTGGTCGCTCGTGGGACAGCAACGTTAAATACAATCGCAAGTACAACTCGAGTTTACACTGGGATGATCCCTAAGGGTACGAAGTTTGGCACTCTCTGTCCTCCTTCACCATGTACACAAACACACACACACACACACACGTAACATGCATTCCATCTTTGACTCTTTCTCTCTCGGTTTCTCAAGTTTGCCCGATATCTCTCCTCTGTCAAACTACTATATACACTCTAAACCTTTCGGATTAAAAGAGATCCTTCGTCCGTCGCGAGGACGCAAGGGTTACGGTTACGGCTGATCCATGGACAAACAGCCACGGACCACAGTCTTCGATTCTTCTTAATGTTTATTTACACGGTTCCAAAGGGGATAAATATGTGTTCTATGGCAAGATGCTGCGCGGACGCGTCGACGACGATCGCAAGGGGTTGCGAGTACCACCACAACCCCCATTTTCTCCAACTATGTGATACAATAATATTCGAAAGGAGTATCCTCTCGAACGATATTCTCCTGGAAATACACATTATTTATCTTCTTTTTTCGTTTCGAATTCGTGTCGAGGAACTATGGTAAGAATATGAAAAGAGAGGTCTCGCGCGATTCCATTCCGAGGGAAAATGGTAAGCTCGGGATCGGATTGATCGGTTTGATGCACACTCGAAGGTCCCCGACGTCGTCGCGTTTCCGCCCGGAAATTCCGTCCATTTAGCTTCCAAGGGAACAATGCCGCCATTAGCCCAGCTTCAGAGGTTTTTTCGTAACCTCGCGCAATTCCATCGATTCCTGGGGTTCCGGTGGGGTAGAGGTTACACAGTTTGAACAACATGGAGTCCACGTCAGTCTTGCAGACGGGAGATCCACAATCTTCTCCCAAGGCTGTTCAACGACATCATTCAAGCAATTCCTCGCAGAACAAACGAATTTTCGTCTGAGGAATTGTACTTTGCACAACCGTACGTTCCAAGCGTTCAGTTCCTTCAGGTCTCCAATTTTTCTCTCAAAGTCTTTGGAATTTTGTGTATTCGTGTCACTTTTGCCGCCAGGTTTTTAGATACACTTTCTTTACCACAATTTATACATCCTACGATCTTTTTATCTTTTAACGTAGAAACAATTTTCCTTTTGAAATTCCACACTGAGCACTGATTTCGACAGTTACTGTTCATTCTTCGGGAAATCCAACAGATCCTAGCAGGTTCTCCACTGAAATGATATTCGCAGAAAAAACTCCCCTTTAGACTTTCTCAGTCTTTGGAAATTAATAATAACATTCTGACCCAACAATTCCACCCTGGAAGTTCCAGTTGATTCCATGCGATGACTATGGACATACAAATTCTAACAATTCCCGGCAATTCCCAGCAATTACCGACAATTCCACACAATTCCAGGCAATTCCATCCCCAAACTATCCCCCCGCGAGTATCAGCCTCTTCCCTCGTATCGAGCAATTCCAAGTTCACTTTCAAAGTGATCTGACAATTCCAACGGTTTGAAGAACGTATAAAGATTCCGCTGAGATACACGCGGATCTTGCTTCGATTCCCGTTGTTCACCCTCTGCCAGGGCGCACCAGTGATTCCACGGGAGGAACGCTACACATATCCTCGGCCTGTCGAGAGATCGATCGTCGTCGCGGAACGATCGTATCTCGATGCACGTTTTCTCGTCGTCGGTCAGACAGAATTCCTGGCGTCTTAGTCCAGGCAGAGAACGTCTAGCTACGCCTCGGAGCCACTCGAACACTCGTCCGCCTCCGGATCGATGTGCTCCTCCTCCTCGTCCTCCTCGTGGTGATAGTCCCCGGTCTCTTGCTGCCACTTGCTCACGTGATGGGTGTTCTTGTTGTTGCTGTTGTTGTTCCCGTATCGATTTTGGAACCAGACCTTCACCTGCAACACATAACCGATTTCCGGTACTGGTTAATTCGTTGTGCATCGAAAATTGTAATGTAACATTGGGAAATATAGTATTTATAAATGGAAGGGTGCTCAGTGCAATAGTGAGACTACCTAAGATTCCAAACAAAGTGTAAGAATACAGTGCTCTGTACTCTATACAGTGTACTCTTGATGTAATATACACTAGGCCTAATTGTGCTTCCAAATTTTCCCTCATCTCCAATGTTAATGAATCTCTTCACACGTCTTTATTTTATTTTGTAGATATATTCCACCGAAGTCAGTCTATTTAACTACTCTCACCCCCACCCCCAGAATTCCATCATCCGGAGGACACATAGAGTGTATTTATAAACAGTTTTCCACCCTATCGCGAGAGATGATCGGCCATGATACCCTACGCCTCGACCCCAACATAGAGACTAATCCCGGTCTTGTCAAAACCACGTCAGACCCGCGCTGCGTTAGAGAAACATCCGTGCCCACCCTGTGTATCTCCACCGTCTTTTCCACCCCCTTTCCGCGATGCCCTGGGCAACGACAATGGTGATTTCACGCGTTGATAGCTTAAAATGGAGTCCATTCAACCCCTTCTTTCTGTGTCCCAGGAAGCGCGAAGAGGACAATGTGTATCTAACAGTCAATTCGGGGACAATGCTTTACCTTTCGCTCTGTCGCTCGTTTCATCCCCCTCCTTTTTTTGTCCTCGCCATGGGGGTTCCGCGTCACTGACACGGACCCATTGTAACCGGATACACCCAGTTTAGGGGTGGTTCCTTGATACGACCGGACCGGTTTATAACTAGTTGCCACTTAATTTGGCAAGCCTCGACGAACCTCGAAGGGATAGTAAGAGACACCCTTCCAATCCGACCCCAGGGTGAATCGATAGGCGAACGGAGATGACGCCGTCGCCTCGACCATTTTACGCTTTATTGCGGCGTGATTTGTTGCGTCACGGAGGAATAAGCTCGAAATAGTATTCAGTATCATTTATATCTTTTTTCTCTTGGTTGATGAGTTTATGAGTTTATGAAGTACTAGAAACACCGTTTAACTTCAAAACATCTTCTCACCATTTTTCTCATTCAAAATGATCACGATGATTGAAGCAAAGAACAAACATCGCTCAAACAGCCATAGGCTGTTCTGGTTTTCCCAAAAATAATTACCGAAATTTAACAAAATATAGTAGACTACGTATTGGTACATCTGATATTTATCGTCAAGCCTGATCGCTTAATCGTAACATTAAGTGACACTCGATGCCCCGCCCAGTACATTTTTAACCTATCCACATATTTCATTCCTCCGCCTCACTCTCGCCATCGTTCCCACGATCTCTCGTCAGTCCCGAAAAATTCTCTGACCAGACTTCGATAAAACCTACGGCGCGGCGACGCATTATATTCGTCTCGAATAAAATTTCGCGCAGGCTTGTGTATAGCCCAGGCATAAATCGTCCAAGCTGTTCGGGAAGCTTTTATGCGATTTTTACAACCAGCTCGCCCCCGTAAGATACTTGCATCGATGCCGTTGGATACGCTCACCTTCCCCGTGGGTGACGGGGTGAGGGGGGTGAAACTCGGTTAAAACGTGTGTAAATCCAGCTGTGTGGCCTCCAGTGTGTATGTGTATGTGTACATCCACCTTTAGCTCGAGGGTAAGAGAAATAGAGGGGGAGGGTGGTTGAAAGTGGTGGGGAACAGTTGAAATCGTCGAGCTGATCCTGGGGAATAGGACGGGGCTAAAGGGGTGGCCGGGGCTTTTCCGCGTGCGCGTCAAGGATCCACCAATCCGGTTTCAGGACCGCCCGCGGTCTCCATGGCAACCCTCGGGAACAGAGGGTGATTACAAAATGGGGGTAACTCGATTATACGTACGAACGGTCGGAGAGGGTCCTGCAGGGAGCGTTAGGAGCAAAGCGTGGGGGATGCGAGGGGAGTGGAAAGGAATGAAACTACAGCGTCGTTAACCGGGGCTGCTCTCTATTTGCCCTCTTAATCATCCGTTAAGTGCCACAATCCTCGAAAAGTTCCCCTGGGTACACGACTACCCCACCCCGCGCCCAATCCAACCATCTCCCCTTGCGTTCTGAAATTTCGCCAGTTTGTCGGCCGGCTCCTCCGTTCTCGCGTTCCGCCATTAATTCCGGGACTAATTGTTCGTGGTATTTGCCAGACGGGTCTTCTTCGGAAGGGAGATCAGGACAACGTTTATTTTTCGTGATAGCGTATGATTCGGTGTACTACATTGGAGTTGCTTGTCCATGGCGAATTTTATACGGTAATGATCAGTAAACTGCGGATGTTTCGAGCATTACTAGAAGATTCACTGTAAAACTATAAATTCATATAGTATACACTAAAGAGGCGTCAGAATTAAGAAAATCTCATTTTCGTACATTCTGTGACACAGCTGCTGCCCTGAACAGTGAACACCCAATTGATCGAGCAGCGTAAAGAAAAAGATCGCGACGATTGGTGTAAACTGTCGTGAATTCTTGAGAAGTATTTCCAGATCTTAAAATAATCGTCGCTGTCTACATGAAACTCGAGCCACGGAATTATTTCCGTCTGAAGTAACAAGAATAAACCCTCGTTTAACCATGAATCCGGGGCCGATAACAAGCTCACGTAGAAGATTGCCAGACGCGGCGCAATAATGTCCGACGGTGGCCATCTTGGCCCGATTTATGGAAAAGCAGGTCCGATAAATTGCGACAAAGTCTCCCGCGTGTTTAATTAGAATCGAAGACTCGGTCCGTCGGGCTCTCGTCCTCGAGATCAACTAGGAGGACAAATGTTCGAGACGAAATCGCGGGTATTAATTTCCATTAGCGTGTATTCCAATTTCCTCTGCGCACCCGGTGAAAAGAAGCGAATACGCCGCGTTGAGCGGCAGCCAATGAACGTAATTATATTTAACAGGGGACGTAAAAGGTTCCGGATAGATTAGGCCTCGAGACCTCCCGTCGATTTTCCGTCCATTCTTTTCTCTTCATTTTTTCGCTCTTCTTCTTTTTCATCTCTGACACGCTTTCCCGCGGAGCGACGGAACGAGATCGACCGAACGCGACCGTAATTAGAATATCAATTATCAATCGGGGTTAATTGAATCCTGTCGTCCAGGTCTGTCGCCTTGATTCATCGATTTCCTTCGTTACCTCTGAAAGAGGGAACTTCAGAACGTAAACCTCGCGTAGCTACACTTCACAGAGTTAGACCTCGCACACCGATCGCACACAGTTGATGATCCCAATCACCGTACTCTCGCCATCTCTAGTCACAAAACGAGCCCACCAGAGCCTCCTTAAAAGGACATCACATCCGGCCATCACCTAAACGCCAACGATCGTTCTTCAAAAGAACCCACCAGTACATTCAAAGTCGAAGCACGATGGGGATGGTTTGCTAGAATCCATCTTGGAACTTCTCGAAAAAGTAATGGTCATGGGAACGGCACCGTGGTAGGATCACAGATAACCGATCGAAACGTGGTCGCGGCGAGCAGTTCTCGTTGGGCTCGATCGATCCGTATTACCGCGGCGGATTACGGGGCTAATATCTATCCACGGCGATCGAGGCGCGTTAACATCGCCCTTACCCCGGAAAAATCGTTCGCGAATCCCCCGTAGACGAACAGACCGTCGGATCGGCGTTCCCTTCAAGAAAACGTCTATCGATCGGAGATAACGAGAGTTCGTACACGCGTGTGTACACCCGTGAGTCGCGTAGGGGAAAACCGATCGCCACGGTCAATCCTCTCTCTCTCTCTCTCTCTCTCTCTTTCTCTTTCTCTTTCGACGGGCGTAAGGGAGCAGCGTAATTGAAGCTGTTCCCGGAACGCGTCTAAGTGACAGGTGAACACCTTATACGCGTAACCGGGGTACCCCGTGACACTCGTCACGGGTTCCGTTTCTAGTGTCGGCCCGCTTTGGACACTGTGCGCATACATACACACAGGTGTACACACATGTTGAACACCAAAGAATTGAAACACGCTCGAGAAGAGTCCTCTGTCTCCTTTTCTCTCTTTCTCTCTCTCTGCTCCCGGCACCTGCGCCAATATCGCCGAAGCAAACAACGAGTCTCTCGCTCTCTCCATATTTGCAGTTTCGGAAATTCCCAAGTTTGATAACGGCCTGTGCCGCGGAGCGTAATTGGACACGCTGTGGCCATACAGGATGATTGGTGGAAACCGTGCTCGCGCATGCAGATGCTACTCGGGTTTTGAGTTTTCGGGAGATAGATAACGATGTATATCACTAACCTAACAAGACTCTCCAACCTCCTCGACACCACTAAACAATTAAACAAACCCCACCTTGATATCCTCGAACGTGTACCGAGTCTATACAGGATAAAGAAAAACAGGCGGAGGGGGTTGGGATAATTTTTTTCGTCGTCGCGATTCCAAGGGCCGAATAAAATCTCGAGGGTCGCAACCCCCTCCCTCCCTGTGGGCCAATCGCTGCGCGGACGACGCTGACCCGCAATCCCCCGGGGGCTGGCCAGTCACGCTCGAAACATTATTTTTAATCCCCCTAGTGCGTCGCGCGACAATCCGCAACCCCCAACCCCCAATCTCCTCCCCCTTTGCACGTCGCGATCGCACGGCTAAATAAACTCGAGGATATTATTTTTCAATTGTCGACGGGGCACGCGGACGCGCGTCCAGCCGTGCCGAGTGTTTTGTTAGGACGAAATTGAGCGTGATCGTGGTGGAATGGGAGATAGGCGGGGAAAGAACGAGAGACAATTTCGTTGGGATACACCTTTCCGCGTTTCACCGTTTTATTATCATCGTTCTGGTCGTGACTGAATCGCTGTGGACTCTTCCCATTCGATTTCCGCGCGAACGATCGCGTGAGAGACCGTCTTTAAACCCTTTTGTGCGTCGAACACACCGAAAACTGAACACGCCTCTCTCTCTCTCTCTCTCTCTCTCTCTCTCTCTCTCTCTCTCTCTCTCTCTCTCTCTCTACGAGT